ATTAAATATTATTATGTAAATTGCTTTGGGCAGCTAATATCACAACACTCTCCAACACTTCATCTGCTGCCACATAAACGGAAAAGCTTAGTGAACTTTTTTTTTATCCTGACTGTTCATGTAAATGGCAGCAAAGGAAAAAACAAACAAACAACAAAAAAACATTAAAATAGTTTAAAAAAAAGTTTTCTCAAAAATAAAGAGTTTGTTTCTGACTAACAGTTGTGGAATAATAATCAGCTTCCTATGGAAAGAAAATGAGCACCATTTATGATGCCTTACTGCCCTCTGCTGTACAACACCTGAATAATTGCTATAAGTAAAAGAATATAATAACCAGTGTAACCAGTTCCATTCTTATATTTGTATTTTAAAGATTTGTCAACAAAATTTCCCACATCCCAATTTACGTTGCTCAAAGAGGGATAATCTCAGGTACAGCAGGCTACCCTGATAGTGCAGCAGCAGTGAAAAGTGCATTTATTATACGCTGCTAATTACACTGCTGTCCACATATTTTTATTCATCCAACCTTATCTAGCCATTGTTCACAAAGAACATTACACTTTTAAACATAATGGTTAAATTAATGCTTGCTTTAACTTCTTATATAAAATACAGAGCAGCCAAGACCAGCATGCTGTTAATTATTTTCACCATGGTTTGCATTAGACCTTTATTATGGCTGCTGAAGGTCTGAAGGTCAAAGCATTGTAAAATAAAGTCCTTAATTGCTTGTGGTAATAAAATTCTCTGTAACTTCTCTTTAACTTTTTTTTTCTTCTTATCTTTTTAATGAAGTGAAACAGGGTGAAAAGGCTAAGATTGGAGCTGAAGCCTATCCCAGCTACCACAAGGCGAGAGGCAGGGTACACCCCAGACAGGTCGCCAGTCTGTCGCAGGGCCAACAATCCAATTTTTGGTTCAAATCACCATTAATATGTACAGAGGTGGTCAGGAGAGCGGTAGAACAGTGAGTATCTACAACCATTTGTAAAACATAGTGGAGGGTTGGGGCTGCACTTCAGCCAGTAGGTGTTTATGAAAGTAGAAAAATACAGGCAGATTTTCATCGACCATGGAAAACCATTTGGAAAGTGTTTGGCAGAGTCTTCATTTTTCAGTATGACAATGCAGTAAAAGCACACCTAGAAAACAACACACAATGACACATTAATAGAAATGGTGTTGTCTCCCCATTATAACAATATTTACAAATGACATGAAAGCTTGCCTGAGAGCTCAGGCTGTGTTGAAGAATAAAGGCGGTAAAACCAAATACTCGTTTTCAACCTTAACAAACTCAGTTTTCACCTTTTAAATTGTATTTACATGCACATTTGCAGAAGTTTCAATAAATTGAAGAAAAAAGGAATCCCTCAAGACTTCTGCATAGTACTTCATAATTAGTAAACCTGACCCAAATTTAACAAACTACCCTCAACAGCTAAAAGGCTTTATAGATCACTTGACAATTCCAAATCACTAATGGATTCAAATGGACTTACAGATTAGGCCAAATAAGAGCCCATCTTTTCCAAGTGCAAGTGTAAATCTGAATTAACTGACAAACTCGAGGGTTCAGGGTGCGTCTTTGACATAATTTATTCAATAATCATACATTTTAATATAATGGATTAATCATGATAGCCATATAAAATATTTACAGAGCAAATCATTTGTAAAAATGACAGATTCTGCTGGAAAGTATATGTGCTTATATTGTAGAAGGCGGTAATGTGTCAGCAACTTCCAAGAGCGAGTATGTATCACTGAAGAATCACTGATCCCGGAAAGTGACACCTCACATGTGCAGTTTCTAGGAAATAATTAGCACAGCTTGAAGTCTAAAATGGTGATCTGAGATTAAGAAAGGCTGCAGGTGGACTGTTTGGAGTCTCTCCCCTAAGCAAAGAGAAAACAAAGTTACAAAGATTCACCGCACTTGTACACGTCACATGACTAAAAATGTATTAAAAAGCAATTTGGTCTCATCTTCTACCAAAAAGACTGTTTAAAAAGGAAGGGTTGCTGTGACAACAGTGTACCTACATGCGTTCTTGTTAGCATACTACTGACGGATAAGCTTTCCTGGTACCTGTTGTCTCTGCTGCTGGCGTCTGTATTCTTCTTCACTGGCAGCGAGAGCCTGAGCGAGAGCCAGATCCTCCTGCTCCTGAGGGCTGAGACACAAACAAGAAAATGTTAGTGGGGGAGAAAAAAAACAAAACAAACAAACAAAAAACAAAAACAAAAAACAAACAAACAAAAAAAAAAAAACCATTGGAAGGACTGAGAGAAATTTGTTCAAAAGAAGGAAAGGAAAAAAAAAAATCTGAAGACTTTAATCGTTTTTAGTGCAGTTTAGTTTGTGTGTGAAACCACTTGTCATTTACACAACAGATAAATGAAGAATATAATTATTATATGAAGATGATTTTCCTGGCTCAACATGGACATTCAGTCCACACGCAGAGATGCAGTTAAAGATTTTATCATTTCTATCCATTTTTAAAACTAAATCAAAGTCCACGTGATTTTTCCTTGATGGAAAGAAAACATTTTTGCTGGGCACCAAAATTGACCTCCCCCAAAGACAAAAAAAAGTCAATGTTTGCATAAACACATTATGCAGTTTTTGTTATGGACTTAAAATTCACTGCTACTCTGCTGATCTGAACCAAGCCCATAAAAAAGGTCAGCAACTCCATAACGTGTCATAGCACCATGAATTTTACATGAGTTTATGAAACATCCTGCATCATGTTGTTGTGAGTCATGCATTAGTGAAGCATCACTTGTGTATATAATTTACACCTCTATTATAAGCGTTACCAGTTTTAGTGCCCCCTCATACATTACATTTTATAAACATCAGGTCTGCTAAATAGCTGTTTTGGAGTTTCCTATCATAAGTGTGAAGAAGCTAATGATTGGCCGTGTGGTGAAACTGTCTCTGTCAATTAAGACCGCTTGTTTAGGGGAATAAACTTGCAGCAAGCAAAGCTGAGGATTCAGTTTCCTTTAGCAATTCCAGGAAAACTGTCAAAACAAAATTTTTAAATATGTTCACACCATGTAAGATAAAAGGAAAAACTGCAGAGCACGTTTCCTCCTTTATTAAATCTAATAAACCATCTCTATGGTTAAGATATGACATTAGATATTATTGCTTTCTATTACCGAGTTGATTGGAGGACTGAAAGTCAAGAGATGTATGAGAAGCACATCTCAGCCACACTGTGTGCGTCTCACAGGCTATCTGCTACTGGAAAAATGTTTCCAAGTGGAATAATATTTCCATAATGCACATAGATATGAGTGTTATAAAATATTTAAACCCCATAGAGGATAATGCAACAGCGATATTAGAGGATAAAATAATAGTCCCCTCTCAACATATCTGACACTCAAAAGCTGCTTTTACACATTTACCTGAACTTTCCTAGACACTGCATGTCCTACACATTTAGATCAGGCATTAAACAGTTTTCAATTTGGCAGCTTGCGCATACCGAGTCAGTGTTATGTTCGACTGAATAAATTTGTCAATTATCTGGTTGGTTCACAGTCAGTGAGTGGTCATCATGTTTCCTGTCTGCCTGCTCGAGTCAGGCAGTACCTTTACCCAAACCAAGGTATTTCAAGTAATTAAACACAGCTGAAGCCAACTCTCTGCTGCTCTGACCTACATGTAAGAAAGGACTTTTGAATTTATGTGTGAAAACAGACAACTACTACTTTTGGCTGCTCCCTTTAGGAGCTGCCACAGCAGATCATCTGCCTCCATCTCACCCCATCCCTAGCATCTTCCTCTGTCACACCAACCCTCTGCATGTCCAACTCCACTACATCCTCTTTGGTGTTCCTCTTTTCATCCTGTCTGGCAGCTCCACATTTAACAACCTTTGTCCAATATATCCACACTCTGTACTTTATCCAGACCATCTCAGCCTTGCCTCACTAACCCAGTCTTCAAACTTCCCAACCTCAGCTGCCCCTCTGATGTACTAATTTCTAATCATGCCCAGTCTCACTACTCCCAAAGAAAATCTTAGTATCTTCAGCTCTGCCTCTTGTCTTTCTGTCCAAACCATATATGCTAGTAAGGCTCTTGATAATTGTTTTATTCAAATACAAATTCAACTGCTAGAAAACTTTTGATTTTTTAATTTGACCACTCCTTGAGGAACGTCACATGAGGTTCATTTCCTTCTCATCAAATGCAAAAAACAATACAACCTGATAGCCATGGTACCATAAGAGCACTTGTGTTTGCTGATTCAGTCAGATTCATTAACATTGTTTAACACTTAATTTTCTCCGTTTGCCTTCCCTTTCATTGTTGCTCTCAATGACTTTCTAAGAAGCAGCACTTTTAAGCTGAATGTCAGTGAGAAAAACACTCCTCCATTCACACCAGCACAGACATGAGTGGCTTCAAGGGGGGTGAACAATTTTGGCATTCGGAGAAAAACATACTCACCTAAGTGCTGGCGCAACTGTCTGCCTTGAATCAGCCAAAGACATCTCCAAAGCTCTTTGTAAAGCCTGTTCTTCTGTCTGCAATGAGAGCACAGCACCACACCTATGTTTACATTGACCAAACTTTTTTTTTTTTTTTTTTTTAATTAATGGCATCATGCTGTGTAAACAATATACATACCAGGCCGGCCTGAAATGATGCTGATGGTGGTATAACATTCTGAGCTGAAACTGAAGTAGAAATTCGCTGGGCAGAGCTAAAAAACAAAATTGCGCATAAATAAAAACAAAAAAACAAATCTTAAATCACAAACATTCCCCATTTTCTCTGACACATTTAAATTCAATACGAGCTAAAAATACTCACCCAGTGCTGTGACTTCTGCTATTTGCATTCAGACCATTAGAAACAGGTCTTGTGTTTCCTGAACTAGAAGAACTGGAAGTAGAGGCAGACGTGGAGGAAGTACCTTGGGTCCTCATTAAAGCAGCATTTCTGAGACATCAGCAATTAAAAAAAAACAAACAAAAAACACAACAACAGCAAGGGGAAAAAATCAGTTCAAAGGTCCACACTGTCAGATTTCAGATGAAAGAACAGCATTATCGATGAACAGTTCAACGGTACTCACCCAGATTTGGACAGAGGTTTCCCGTCAGTCTTACAATCGTGGTCTAGTGGGTGACGGTGTTTAAGACAGTAATTTAAATGACACTGGTCACAGGTAACTCTTATCATCTCCTTCTGCTTACAGCCTCCTTTCGAGCATTTATTTGTGAAAATCTGAAAAAGAAAACATAGTCAGTTATTACTTTGTGGATTCTAACTGGCTGCTGGGTAAAACACAAATCAGTGTTATACTAACCTTTCTCTTTCTTTGTGCGGGGTCGGATTTACAGTCCCGATCAATGTGCTCACCAACTTTAATGTCAGGCATCTCTCCTCTCTTGACGGGAATGGGGGTGTTACACAAAGGGCATACTGGTACCTGGATATCCTACAGGGACAAATATAAGAAAAAAAAGAAAATGTTATTTAAAAAGGAAACATGATTACAGAACATCAATTAGATTACTGTGTCTACTTTTGCATTTCACTTCAGTAACTGCTTAAACTGAGGGGGAGGAGAGCCAGTCCCTAGTCAGAGCCAGTGTCCTGACAGCATGGTAGGTGCTTATTGTTGCTATGTGAGGAGTTTTTTTTGGTTTTTTTTGGCATTTATTTTATTTGTATTTATTTATTTATTTGTTTGTTGTTGATGGTGAAATCAGATTTTCCCTGTCTTTTAGCCTTTTTTTTGCCCGGATCCTGCCTACTTTTCATTCAGGAATTTGTTACAGTCACCTGGCAGAAACAACAAAAACACCTAGTGGAAAAGGAGACAAGGAGACAGAATTTCCTATAAATTTTAAGACTTTATTACCAATTAAACTCAGAGATAGACAAGCTGAAAGAAAACAAAACAACAAAACTCTGGACGCAAAGATTAAAAAGTCAAAGCCCTCTCCCCTCCACAGAGGAGGAGTAAACAGACAAACACTGAGCTACTCCCTCCCTGATCTAAAGTACTCCCTAGCCTGATTACTGTGTGGAGTCGGCTGCAAAGAGCAGCACCTAACGCAGGTGAATGAGGGTAAAACACACACAGGAAAACTACAGCAGGCCCTGCTAAGGCCACAACAGTTACCACAACCTCTCTCACTAACTGTAAACATAACATCAATTGCAGCCACAATAAGAACAAAAATGTGAAAAGCATGAACAGCATTTATTGTGATGCAAATAAATGCTAAAATATACATTTTTCTTAGACTCCAATATTAGGTTGAAATACCTGAAAATCAGGGACATTTAAAACAAAGGGATTTTTAAATGATCATTTCTCTAATCTTGTGTATTCTTGCCAGTAATTACATACTTCAAACAGCAGTTACTACAATGTTGACTTTAATGAAATTTATAAGGATATTGTAACTAAATAATAATAAAACATTTTCAACAAAGTCAATCTGTACTTTAGATATCGCTTACCTTTTTGTAGGATGATGTGCATTTGTGATTTGCATAGGTTATGTGATCCTTGCAGAATATCTCTTGACAAGCATCACATCTCATAGGCAGAAAATCTGTATTGTCGACAAAGTTATTATTATTAAAGTTCCAACCAAGCCTCGAAACGTAAACAATGGAGGGAACATGACTGTGCGCTTTAAACTCACCTAAACGTTTGCAGGTCTTCTCGGAGCAGTGCTCTCCTAAATCTGGGAACTCCATCTCTTAAAGCTACTTTTGAAGCAATATCCTGTGAATTTCAAACCTAAAGGAAGAGAAGGGAACATCTCACGGTAAGACTGGTCTTTCTGTACGCCAGCTAATGTTTTTATTGTGATAACATATGGTTATGAGTCCCTGATCTACGATGAGATTGCTAAATTGCTAGCCAGAAGCTAAGCTAACTTAAACGATTAGTTTAGTTACATAACCAAGTTTCTCTCAAGCTGGTTGCGATCTTGTGACAGCAAAGGAAAAAAAAAGTCCGATATTGAATCAGAATTATAAAATATTTTCAGCTGACGCTATTAACGCTTGCTTGATATAATAACATAACTACTTAGCACTTAAATAGAGCTAACAAATAAGCCAGTATGAAACTGTCTGTAAACGTCGAACAGGTGAAACCAAACAAATTAGCTGCATTTGTTTTAGACTAGACTCAAAAAAGGCGTAGTAAACATGTTTAAAAGACAGCTGTTTTGTTCATGTTTATGTTCGCTTAGCTGTTTGCTTAGCTAACAAAGCTAGCAAGGTGAATCTGACAGTTAACCTTAGCGTTGGTCTAAATTTCACTCACCAGATTCCGTTTTCCTGTCGCTCTGCTGTGCTACTGTAGGAGGCAATAACGTTATCTTAACTCATCCACCTTAATTCTGACTTTGTCGGTCCTTCTTGGTAATAGTTTCACGGGTGATCCCTTAGCACCGACATCTGCGTGCTGTTATGCTCAGCTGGCTGTTTTCGTCGAATTTTGGTGTGTCACGCACGCTCCTCCCACGTCAGGACGTACTCTACGTCAGAGAAACACGTCATCCTGGGTGTAGTTTCCTAGAGCTGAATCACAGATGAAACGTCTGGAAGGATCCACAATTTTACTCACTACTCACGATGACTGTCATTTATCTGGACGCCATGTAGCTGCTACAAAGAAATTGGTAGATTTTATTATTTTTTTAAGAAAGTTAAATGAGATTATTATTGTTTTTATTATTTTAAACAGGGGTATACAAACACTGCTCTATTCTGACAGTTTTTTTTTAAATTTCACAGGAAGTGGTGTGACATTCTTAAAAATATTTTTTAAGTAGGTGAAACCACAGGCTGTGAGTGAAACAAAGACAAAGCTCAGTATCAGATTGTGTCATAGCATACTACAGTATCTACCTGTCCCTTTTTAAATAAAGTAACCAGGCAGACATGGCAACATGAGCGTTTTATATATTTGCATTTACTCTCGTAAAAATGAACAATCTTCAAAAGAAAGAAACGTAATAATAAATGAAAAAGTTACACAGTGATTTATCATGAAATTCTAATGGCTTTGTACCAACATATACACTAACTGAATGGTAACACTAGTGTCATATAATTATAAAATAAACAGCTATAAGCATACAAAGTCATTCATTACAGTATTCTGCATAGCTTATTTCTATGAACTGTACCAGTAACAATCCTATTGAAGGCTTTTGCTCTTTTATTTTTTTTTGTTTTTGGTCTTAAGAAAGGCCCAACTTGGATCTTGACTGTGCCTACCAATCTCTGCCCTGAGACATTTTCACAGCTTTTTAACAATATGAAACAACCTTCAGAAGCTCTACTTAATGTAACAAATGGGATACTTTGAATTTGATTGTGTCCTGTATCAGTTTGTCTGTTTCCCCCCTTAATTTCTTAAAAAAGAAGAAAGAGTTAAAAAGAGTTGAAAATACTTGTAATTTGTTCCTGGAATCACTAGGATCTCTGGCAAACTGATCACCACATCTATATCAGCCGGAGAACCAGGTTACTTTTATTTTGAAATATTTAACCTGAAAAGCTGTTGCCTACAAGTCACAAAAACATGTGTAACCTGTTTGAATTATGATTTTATGATGTGAAGACCAGTGCAAACTCTACATCTAAAACATTATTTAAGAGGAGTGAAAAATGAGTTTGTGGTTTTAAAATATTTCCCAAACTGTGATGAACAAAGTATATCTTGCCATACTTTGTTTATTCAGCTCATAGAGCTATAACCTAAATAGACACTGAGCGAAGAAAAACAATGAAAGCCTTTAACAATCACATTAGTGCTGTGTGTAGTGTAGTTAGAGTTCTCATACATTGCTGGATGTTATCTTGTTCACACCGACCCATAGTGGTCACAATGTGTAACTGCTCCACAGAGAATAAGGACACTGTAAGCCAGCTTAGTAATAATAGTGGTGGCTTAAAGTTTGCTTGAATAATAACCACCTTAATATTGATATTATGAACCCCAGCAAAATGTAATGCAGTTGAAAAAAAAAGGACCTAAATAATAATCTATCAAGCATTCTTCACATCTGTGTGTAAGAACACCCGCTTCTCAGGTTGCCTGTAGCTCTGGCTTGAACAAAAGACTCCCATGTGTTCCTCTCTTGAGTGCAGAGAAACATAATGACACTTAACATCTCTTCAGCATTTTCATTTTCTGAAGCACATTATTTTTTTTCAGGCAAGCGATGCAGTCAAGAACACTTTACTTGTCAGGGGCTATTTCTTTCCCCAGCCTTGTATGTACTTCCAACACTTCACAATCCCTGCCAGCTAATTGTCCTTGAAAAAAGGGTTGTATCTTAATTAATTTCTCACTACAGTTCCCTTTGTCTGGCTCCTATTCATCAGTTGAAGTGACATGTAAGAGTGAATCATTATCATAAATTCGACATAATAGTCTAAAATTGAATTTCACCTTCTGGGCTTTTCCAGAGCCTTTCAACTGGTGTTTGTTGAGTTTCATTGCTTTTATTCACAGACAAGGTCAATAGAAGTCAGAAGTAAGAAAGGGTGTAACGGGGATCTTTATAGGACTATATTATTTACAAGACCATTTCTCCTGAGTTTAATACCTTTCCAGATATTTCAGACAAAACTGTTTAATGACATGAAGTCAAATTTATATTGGTTGTATGTTTAGTAGGAGTTCATTTAGTGTGAAAAAGCAGACTGTCTCTCATTATTTCTCTTCCTGATCTGCAGGTTAAATTTAGGCTGAAAAGAGTAATTTGTTACTCTTCTGTATGCGTCTCAGGATATCTTCTTCCTGCAGGCTGTGAGGGAGGAAGGAAACAGACTTCTGAGATTGTTCCAAGTCATCAGTAAATAATCAAGTTTTACATTTTGTACTGCAGCAACATTCTGCAAATCTTTGTTGTTAAAGACCAAACTTGTTTTCTAGAAAAGGGACACATCCTTACATCTTCACAAGTCCAAAACATATTCATTAAAGCGCTGTAAATTTATCCATAATGAGTGGATTTTACCAGTGGAGTGGGTTATGTTAAGAAACTTGAAGAGCAATGGGTTTGATACTAGATGTTAAGGTTTATCAGCATATTATCCAGTTCCTGTCATTAAGTCGTATTTGAGGTCTTGGATCCAAACCTTTTGAAGGTACAGAGTTTTTTAAAAGGAATGTGACACTTTTGTTTAATTTTTGTTGCCCTCGTTTGATTTTGTTGATGCTGAATGCAATGTATGTTATGTGTTTTCGTTGGTTTATTAATGGATAAATGGATGGATAATTGGCAACACAGATTGACAAAGAAAAGGTGGGACAGTTAGGGTGTTAAATAAGGTAGACAGGAGTACTTGGAGTCCAGGCATATGTTAAGAGAGTTGTGACAAAGGCAAAGAAAAAAAAGGCTTGCACTGAGTTTTATGTAAGGCTGGACAATAAGGAACAAGAACAGGACTTGTATTGACTGGAAAAGCTGTGCAGCAGGTTAGGGTGCTTAAAGATAAAGATGGACATGTGCTAACAAATGAAAGCAGAAGGAGTGCATGAGGAGCTGAAGAATGAAAAATGAGACAGAGGAGGACAGATGATGGAAAGATAGTAAATCAGGAAGTTCAGAGGATTAGTAGTCACTTTGCACCCACCCCCCCACCCCCACCCCATTTATAGCTACAAATGTATAGTACTCTCATAATGTAGCCACAGTTAGTGCAAAACTAGACATTTTCTCTAGCTTCAGAAGTGGATCAATGAAATCATCACACAGTGGGCTGAGGACACAACATCAGCACATTTCCATTTCATTTGTTTTGCAATTTACGAGTAGAGCCATGCTTTAAAACTAGCTGCACAAGCTGATAAATGACCTCTTTTTAGTTTCAAAGAGACACAAGGGGTACTTCCCAAAGTCTGACCTGCATAGGCCCATCTGCTCAGCGCCTTCTTCAGTCATGCTGACTAACAAGATTGCTGCCGAAGCACCGACTACTTTGAACCAAATAATTAAACTGAGGTTCCAGTGCAATAACTTTTTTGTCGTGTTTAAGTTTTTCATTGCCAAATTGTACAAATTAGTGCAACTTATTAGTGTATGAGTAGAATTCAGCTGAAAAGACATGAGGACTTTATTGGGTGGGGCTTGACCCCTGAGGCCCATACATAACAGACACTGGAGAAATATAGAAATGGTCAGAAGGAGTTGCACTGTGTCTTTGTGGATCTAGAGAAAGCATAGGATAGAGTACTGAGACAAGAACTGGTACTGAGTGGGGAAGTCAAGAGTGAGAGTTATCCAGGGCATGTACGAGGATAACAAGATAGTGGTAATGTATGTGGTAGGAGTGACAGATGTGCTAAACGTGCAGGTGCAATTACATCAGAGTTCAGCTCTGAGCCCTTTCTTGTTTGCAGTGGTGATGGATAGGTTGACAGATGAGATCAGGTAGAACTTTCCATGGACTACGATGTGTGCTTACAGCTACTCATACAGTAAGGAACAGGTGAAAGAGAGCCTTGAGAGTGGAGGTATGCTCTGGAGAGAAGAGGAATGAACCTCAGTAGAACAGAGTACATGTGCATGAATGAGAGGCAGATTAGTGTAACAGTAAAGATGCAAGGACTAGAAACAGAGAAGGTGGATGATTTTAAATAACTTATATCATACCAAACCAAAAGACAGTGTACCAGAGATGTGAAGAAAAGAGAGCAGGCAGGGTGGAGTGGATGTAGATGAATGCCTGGGTATAAGTAGTAAGAATGGAAGGAAAGGTTTGTGAGATGGTAATGAGACGTAGTGAGGCCGATTGACCAACAGGATGTCAGTGGAAACTGTGCTAATTTTAGAAAAGGGAGAAGGTGTGTTTGGCATCAGGGGGAGAAAAGTAAAAGCAAGAGTGTGGAGGTAATAGTACTTTAAATGTCGGGACTGTGACTGGTAAAGTAAATTGAAACCTTGTATAATGTATGGTTTGGAGATGGTAGCACGAACATAAAGACAGGAGGCGGAGTTGGAAGTAGCAGAGTTGAAATGCTCAGATTCTCATTGGGAGTGACCGAAAAGGACATTAGAAATGAGTATATCACAGGACCTGTAAGAGGTTTGGAGACAAAGAGGCAAGGCTGTGATGGTTCGGGCATGGAATAGCGGGATAGTGAATACATAGGACAAAGGATATTAAGACAGAGCTGCCAGGCAGAGGAAACAGAGGGAGACCACACAGAAGATACATGGATGTAGTGAAGGACATGCTGGTGTGACAGAGGAAGATGCTAGGGTTAGCATGCAATGCAGAAAGATGATTTGCTGTGTCTCCTTAATGAAAGCAGCCAAAAGAAGAAGAAGAAGAAGAAGCAGAAGAAGAAAAGGAAGAAGACTATTAAAAAGGATTTTGTGTTTCATATGATGTTTCACAGCTTTTTTATAATAAGCCTTTTGAGATAGGAAGAAAAAAAAAACTCCAACAGGGAATAACAATCATTTGGTGTTAATTATGTGCTGTATTCAAGGTTTGGCTAAAA